ATCCAATGGCACACTGCTCCTGCCTGCAGTGCCATGATCTGTACCTGCTGGCACAGAGCCAACCCCATCTGGTCTGAAAACATGTGCCAAAGGGCCAGACTGGCTCTGTGCCACCATTTGCAGGCCCTGGTACTCAGCCAGAGGCACACATCACATCTAAAAAGAAAGACCTACAAAGGATGGAGGACTGGATCCACCTCTGAGGTGGAATATTCTGCACTGGTCCAGACCTGCAGGAAGCAAACCAGGAAAGCCAAGGCTGCAACTGAACTCCAACTAGCTACAAGTATCAAGGACAATAAAAAGTCCTTTTTTTTTAGATATGTGGGGACCCAGAGGAAAAGCAAGGGCCAGCATTGGATCCCTGCTAAACCAGATGGAACAACTGACAACTGATACGCAGGAAAAAGTCAACTTGCTAAATGGGTACTTTGCATAATTTTTTCACTAGTCCCAAGGGGAACCCCTAATGCCTGGGTGAGGGTGATTCTTTACCCCCCCATCAATGTTGACCTTGTGAAGGAACACCTTGAGAGGCTGGACACCTTCAAGTCAGCCAGCCCTGACAATATACACCCCAGGGTACTCAAGGAACTGGCAATCATCATAGCTCAGCCCCTGACATGGATCTTTGAGAACTGGTGCTCTGGTGAAGTGCCCGAAGACTGGAAGAAGGCCAATGTGGTGCCTATCTTCAAGAAAGGGAGAAAAGTGGATCTGGCAAACTACAGGCCCATCAGCCTGACCTCTATTCCAGGGAAGGTCTTAGAAAAGATTATCAAAGAGGCCACTCTTTTAACAGACTGGCTGATGGCAACATCCTGAGGGATAGCCAGCACAGGTTTGTTGCAGGTAGGTCTTGCTTGACCAATCTTATTTCCTTCTACAACCAAGTGACCTATCACCTGGACAAGGGAGAAGAGATTGATGTCGTATATCTGGACTTTAAAACAGCCTTCGATCTGGTATCCCATGATCACCTCTTGGCAAAACTGGTCAACTGCAGCCTCAGCTTCACCACAATCTGCTGGCTGGGGAATTGGCTCCAGACCCAGAGGGTGATGGTTGACGGAAGTCGATCATCATGGTGCCCTGTGACCAGTGGCATGATTGACCAGAAGATGAACATGAGCCTTCAGTGTGATGCTGCGGCTAGTAAAGCAAGCAAAAATGCTGGCTTGCATCTATAGGTGCTTCTCAAGCAAATCCCAGGATGTCATTCTCCCGTTGTACTTGGCCTTGTTGAGGATGCAGCTGGAGTACTTTGTCCAGTTTTGGGCTCCACAATTCAAAAAGAATGTGGAGAAGCTTGAGAGAGCGCAGAGGAAAGCCACTCGCACGATCAGAGGTCAGGAAAACAGACCTTACGAAAACAGGCTGAGAGCTATGGGACTCTTCAGCCTGGAAAAGTGCAGGCTCAGGGGTGATCTGGTGGCCCCCTATAAGTTTATCAGGGGTGTTCACCAGGACCTGGGGGAACATCTGTTCACCACAGCACCCTGGGGGATGACAAGGTCAAATGGTCACAAACTCATTCAGGACCGTTTCAGGCTGGACATAAGGAAGAACTTCTTTACAGTCCAAGCCCCCAAGATCTGGAATAGACTGCCGCCGGAAGCGGTTCAAGCACCTACTTTGAACACCTTCAAGAGAAATTTGGATGTTTATCTTGCTGGGATACTATGACCCCAGCTGACTTCCTGCCCCTGGGGCAGGGGGCAGGACTCGATGATCTTCTGAGGTCCCTTCCAGCCCTAATGTCTATGAAATCACTGGGGGTTCTATCTGCCACAGCCATGAGCGCCCCAAGGGCCTGCCACCTGCTGCTGCTGAACTGCCAGCGGTAGGGTCTGTGCACCACAAACCCCGCACCAACCCATGAATCCCCCCATACTCCCATACCCACCCATAAATCCCACACCCCTTCATAGCCCCTCCACACTGTCACAAATCTTCCCCACACCCCCCCACAACCATACAAAGTACCTGCATATATTTCTAAAGAAATTTCAAATAATGTTACATTTAGTTTAATTTGTAAAAAATAAATAAAAGTAATTAATTTTACATAATTTTGAGTTTTCCTGCACATAATTTTGAATTTTTCTGTGCATAATTCCTTGGGGTGTACAGAGTAGTCTCAGCTGTGGCCCCAGCCCTCCCACCCTGGGGGACTGCTTAGGGACTTCTTTACAGCCCACTCCCAGCCAGGGAGCCTGCCCCAAGCCTTCTACCCCTTTACAGCTCCGTGATTGAGGCACTGGCAGGCTTCCAAATTGCTTTAAAATTGTAAACAGATCAATAAAACACTCTGTTCAACTGATACCTAGATCTCTGTAGCTATCTAGAGATATTGATATCTATCTCTAGATACATATAGTGGCCTTTCATTTTAATTGCAGATTTCGCAGTTTTAACCAGAGAATTTGCAATTTTCAAACAGAGAAAACCAGGATCCCTGGTGACCCCCTCAATTCCCTGTGCTGGTTGCCAACCCCTGTTTTAGTCATTTAAAAATTCTGGTAATCTGGGTAGCTTCAATGGGAAAAAAGATTTTTCTCCTTTACATCAATGCTCGTAACTGTTGAAACTATATAACGTCTTTTAAACAATCCAGCCTAAGCACCTCCATTTGGGTTCCCTTTTGCACATCACTTAGGCTTGGAATCTAAAACCAGCCAGTCTGTTTCTCTAAGTTAAGGCAACCATAACAGGACATAGATTAAGACATGTTTGGAGGTGGGGAAAAATTCCTACAAAAGAAAAGTGCACTTTTTAAACCATGTCAGTGAGGCAGAGACTGGCTGTAAGTGATCCCCACATGTGTATGAATTTCTTCCACAAAAGGATTTTTCCCCAGTCATTTTTGTCTAAATGGCACTACTGATGCTTCAGGATAAAGCCATTATGGCTTGCTTTGGAGTGGAGTGCACTTGTGTGGAAGCTGTCATTTTACTCGAACATTATCTGGAACAGATGGTCCAATAGAGCAGAAATTCTAGCCGCCATCTTGAATTCTATTCATCAAATAGTTTAATAGTCATAAAAGAATCAAATATTGCTTCAATAAAAACCAGGGCATTCCAGATGTCCTGAAGGAAATTTGTGCAACACCAGGAATTGCGTGAAAAATATTCATAATTGCCTCAGTAAAACTGCAATGTATGGTTGCTTTCTTCAGAGTGCTACAAAGCTGCAGAGTTTCAGTTGCAAATATTAGAGAGACAGGGCACTAGTTTTCACAGTCAATTGATTCCTCCAATAATGTGAGGTCTCTTACTGTGGTTCAGTTACTAGACTGATCAGCCTGACCATGCTGCACATGAAGGTCTGACATGGCAATGAGTGGAGGAGGTAGAGGCAAGTCTAGCAGCAAAACCAGGGCAATGCTCAATCCCATGGAACCACACTGACTGCAGTGTTGGTGGTCTTGGAGGTGGTGGCCTCTTTGGTGCCTCATATTCTTGTGTTAAGTCACCAGAAGTGGAGGAAAAGGGTGACTTCTTGGGCTGGACAAAGCAAGGCATTCTGCCAGAAATCAGTGGGCAACTGGCTCTGGTATGAGAAGGTTTAGATATAAAAACACCTATCACAAAACAGCCTAGTAGGGGGAGCAAGGACAGCAAAAGTGAGCTTATAACATGCTTATGCATTGACTGCTGCTAACTCAGACTCTAGACTGAGGGCTCAGACCTGGAGGTAGACTCCCACACTCGTTTCTCTCAAGTTTCTTCATATCCAACTCAAAGAGAGATAAAAGCTATGAGGTGCACTGATTAATCATAAGCCTCACCTATCTTACAGAGATGTACTGTGTTTAAGCAGTGCTTATGGATTCATTAAGCTCATTTGTAACTGGTCTTATGGCAGTTGATAAAAGCATAGACAACTCAAAAGGCTCTTCAGTTATGCAGATAAGAAGCATGCACACTCCAGTATGAACACTGCTGTTCTTGTGAGTTAATTCTAAATTCTTTCTGTGACCATGCTTTGAGTTATTTCTCTATATTATGACATTATGCTCCTACCTCAGACTGAAATTTTCCACTGCCAAGTTTGCAGAACTGATTTCGAGTTTTTCTTCAGCTACCGAGATTCTCCTCTGGATACTTCTCTCCAGTGCTAGCACGTTGGCTTTCTGAAGAAAAAGCAATACCAACTAGTTATCGTCTTCCTCTTATGGCTGAACAGCATCACAGCTGGAAGATCCAAAATAGCAGCAAGGATTAAGGATCTGGAGAAATCAGTCTGCACCAGTCTAACCAGAGAAAGTTTTGAACTATAAGCAAGCTGGTATCCCTCACCTCCTTGTTTTTTTAACATTGCACAGCTCAAGAGTGTGAGCACATGCGTGTGTACATGCATGTGCATATTAAGTAACTCAAGTTCTAAGGTCCATGATGACTGAAACTTGAATGAAGACTGGGCAGTGACAATGTAGCAGTGGGGCCCATTCCAAAGACTCAGTAGTAAGAGCAGGGGAGGGGAGGCGGAGTCCCAGTTGCCAGTCAAAAAAGCACTTTATTTCACTTGCCTTTCACTTCCTTTGTTTCTAAAGCTGCCACAATATTCATACCCCTGCAAACAGAATGCCAATGAATATACCTTAGTAATAATTAGCCAGGCAACAGCTCATCCCTGCTACTAAGGTCTTTCAGCTTATTCTCCATAAAACTAATTCTTCAAGGGTTACTGAAGACAATTTACCCCAAGATGAAACATAATAGAAAAGGAAGGGAATTGTCTAGCCCTCCTCAGGTACATAACTGACTTGATTATACCTGGCAAGCAGTACTTATATTGCAACAAGCCCTTGTCATGCTGAATGTAATGGGGAGAGGGAGAGGATGCATAGGCATGTGGGAGAGAGAGCAAAAGAACAAGCACAGAACCTTGTTAGCCACAGGAGCCAGCTGTCAGTAGTACAGACCCTCTGAAAGACAGTAGAAGTGAATAGTTGCAGGTCTTTCTACTAGATTTCTATTAACGGAAAATCTACTCTTGTGAAACCAAGGGGAAAATCCACCCCTATCATGACAGTCTGAATGCAGAAGTAGACATTAATAGAATGTCAAAAAAAGCGCAGGAAACCTGCCGGAGAAGGGCAAGCTCTAGAAAGGACAAACAATAGAAGCAGCGAGAGCTTGCATATTCAGACACGTTCATCAGTTCTGAAAGAGCTGTTTAGCATGCGGGAATTTCTCATTAGGTGAGACAAGGCCTCACTGCGTAGTATTAAAACAGATATCCTCAGCACAGAGGATATCTGGGTAGCAGGTCTCCCTGATCTATGTCTTTCTGCCTTTGCATGTGCTTGTAAACTTGGTAAACATGTTCTGCTTCAGTAACATCTGTGGCTGGATTCCCCAGACCTCCAATTTCTGATCCTCACTCTAGCCTCTCCCATGTCTCCGTTTTGTGTTCCACTCAACACCCTGCAGCCTCTAACTCCTGCATCTACTACTAGACTCCCAAATTCAACATTGTTCCTTTGATTAAGATAAAGGAAGGTGGCTTGCAAAGGTTTTTCATGGTAATAACTTAAGTTCATGAGCACTTATCCAAAAGACAGGGATTATTACACATACCAGATAAAATTCCAGTCAGGAAAAAAGTAGAGAACTTAATGTCTGAGATGAAAACTATTCTAACACCAAGTTTAAACATAAGCCTATTTGCTGTTTGGACAGTATCCATACAACCTTAACTCTGTCTCTGCTCCAACTAATCCACACTTTGAGATCACTATATTCCGGCTCAAAGAAGTTGATCCGTGTGTTTGCAGACTGCTGCGGTGGAATTCTGGTCTGAGAAATTACTTTGAGCCAACAAAGAGGGAAATCAATGCTGTTTTGCAGTCATCTCCAGATCAAAGGTGTTCAGTTTATAAAATAAAATGTTATTTAGTGCAATATTTTCAAAAGCCTCCATGTGACTTAGGAACATAAATTCCACTATTAAAAGTAATGTAGCTACTTGGGAGTCTAGTCTGTGCTGAAAAATCAACAGGGCTTAGACTTCCAAGTGTTTGGGTTGATTCTGAAAGTTGTGCCTTACCTGTTTTCTTCAACTGGCAGCCCTCCATATGTATGATGGGATCAGAGTATTACTGAAGACCAAGGGCCTCAATGTAAAGTCCTGGTCATTACTTTATGTCCCCAGTGACACCTGGTAATCCTATTGCTGTTGGTGGCATTGTATGCTGGTAATGGAAGCTGGGCTGTACCAGTGCAGCAGTAGGGCCCATTCCACATGGAAATTTAGTGCACAAGTTTGAATAGAGGCCAGCTCACTTATTCACAGCCACATTGGCTCTCTGGTGTTAACAGAATTAAAAAGCATGAGCATTTTGTTACCAAAGTCAGCACACCTGACAGAACACATGGGAGGGAGGAAGTAGGAGGGCTTGTTGGAGGGCTTCTCTTCACAGCAGAGAGTTTGATTAAATGCATAGAAGCAAAGAAATTAAGGTTAAGTCTGAAAGCCTGTGTCCTCACCCTACACACATGCTTAGATATTTCAGGTATCTGCAAACTTCCTGGCTAAGTTCAGACATTCAAAGAGCCCAAGGTGGAATTAGTCTAAGTTACACAGTTTTCTGTAAGCAGCATAGTTTAGATCAGTATGATCTTATGCATTAGCTGTGCTATAGTACATGTGAGCAATGCTTTTCTACCTTCACTTAGCAAGTCAGGATTTTGGTGTACGCTATGAGGCTCGGACTTCTCAGTACTGCAGCCTATGCCTTCCCTAAGCTTAAACACCTCTGCCAAGTCCTTCAAGCTACCTAGCAATGGATCAGGGTGTTTGGTGTATGCTGTCAGCACTGAAGCATCCAGTTTTCCGTACAAGGGAGAGAGGAGTGCTAATGCCTTTCTGCTTTTCCATTTAAGAAATCTCCACCCCTTGTCTGTGGCTCTTCTGACTCTCAGGCATGCAGTCATCTGCTCGTGTCCCTTTCCATTCCCTAAGAGTCTGCTGTAATCATGGGATGGCTGTTACAAACCTGAGGAAACCATCTATTAACAGGGACCACAGCCAACCCCTGTGACCCATGCACAGGCCCACCTCCACCCTTATGAATTTCCAGCTGCCACCAAGACAAGCCACTGGCTGGGACCTTCATTACTACATTCATTCATAAAAAGCAGACTGTATGGATCAGGATAATGGGGCCATATGGAAGTGAAATAATCTATTTAGCCTCAGAAGCTATTGTTCAGCATGGCTTTGAAGGTACAGGAAGGAGAATGGTGTTTTATATAGCTCAGTGGAATCTCGGTGACTCAATATAAAAGCAGCCACCACTTCCTGTGGTCCTGCTGGTGGAACCCCAAGAAAGTCAGCAGAGAGCCCTGTTTGCATTACTTCTTGCACCACAGGCTCCCACCAGCTCTTCTTACCTCGTTCTGAAGCTCCATCTGGGTGGTGTGCAGCGCTGAGCTGAGCGCTTCAATTGCTTTATTCTTTTCCTTCAAATCTATTTCCAGTTTCTTCATCAGATAAAAAAAATCATGTTCTCCTTTAGCTACAGCACACTCTTAACATCTATACCACAATATATAAACATAGTTCCAGCCAGCCCTTAATAGCCATATTCTTTCCCTCCCCAACTCCCCACTGAGTTACCTACTAGTGACATTATTGGTACCACTTGGTGGAAGGGAGGGAGTGGGAGGGGAGAAAGCAGCAGGCTGAACAGAAGCAAAGACCCGCTGTATTCTTCTGCTTTACATGCTGCTTTTACAGAGCAGATTTGTTCCCATTCTTAGGGTCCAGTTAGTTACTTGCAATATCCCCTTATTTAACTTGGCTACATGGAGGTAAAGCCTAATTTCAGCATACGGGCTTGATTTCTCCTTCCCACACAAAGCTGTGGAGGCTGAGAGTCACAGAGGGCTACATGTAAAGAGGGAGTCATTTTCCTGGACTCCCTCTAAGGGTTGGCTGGGCAAGTCCAGCTCTCAAGTTACCGCCACTGATCTAGATCAGTGGTTCTCAACCTTTTTTGTACCAGTACCCATTTGTAAACATCAATGACCAGTCCCAACCCAGTGCCTCTCATCCCAACCTGCTGGCCCCTGGCCCCAGCCTCCCAGTGTGTGGGGCAGGGTAAGGTGTGTGTAGAGCAGGGGTGTCCAACCTTTTTGAATGTGGAGCTGGATCGTGAATTTTTTTTATCACCCAGTGGGCCGGCGAGCTACATTCAAAGACCTCACAGGAAGCAGTATCACATCAGGAAGTGATGTCACGTGACCTTTGACACCAATGAAGTTGCAGAAAGTGACAATGAAATGGGTCTAACCAGTTCAAAACTCTCCCTCTATAGCATCCACCTCTGCCACTGTTCAGGACAGGATACTGAGCTACATGGACCATTGGGCTGACCAAGCATGGCACTTTTTATGCTCTTATGTTCTTTGGCTGAGCTTCCAAACTATGGCTGAGATTTGCAAAAAGGGGTAGATAGGCATGTTACAAAGTTGTCATCAAAGATTTGGAGCCTTCTAAATCCCATTAATTTTAATGGAAGTTGGCCTTTTGATTTGGCTTTGAAAATCTCAGCCCAAGGTGCCAACCAAATAAGTCAAAATATATTTTGCATTTCTATGCAGTGCATCTATGTGGGGCTCTCCAAGCATTTTACAAACATTAAATGAACCTCAGGACATCCCTGCTTTTCAGAAGAAATGTGGTGGTGAGGACATCCTGGGAACCTCTGTGTGTGTGTGTGTGATCTGCTTCTACTGTCCTTAGACCACCCTAGAAGGGCCCTCACTGCCTCATTTCCAGTTCAGAGCAGGTAAAGT